CCCGGTGCCTGCTGCACTGTTGTGCCGCGGTCTTTGCCCCCCGCCCCGCTCGCCAGTGCCGCCGTCTCGACACCTCGAGCAGTGCAGTCCGGACGCCCCCCCCCCTTCCCTTCCCCCACTTGAGCGGCCGCGGAGAGCTCAGAGAGCGGACGCGCAATTGCTCACGTGCACCTTGTATCGTGGCCGCGGGGCGCGATCGCGGGCGTATAGGATGGGACGCAACAGCTCGAAATGTGGACGCGCAGAGGCGAAACGAGCGACCAACGCGCGCCGCGGCGGCGACAGAATCGGGGGGGGGCAGGGGGGCAAGCACTCGCGCCGCGTGTAGTAGTCCGCGCCGCCTCCGACAGGTTCGCTAGTGGATAGAGAGCTGGACGCCGAGCTGGGCCGCCGCCGAGCAGATGAACAAGGGGTGTCATAGTATGGTGCGATTGCACGCGGTCGCCTCGGACGGGCGCGGCAGGTCTTTCCTCCCCCGGCAACAAGCCGCCCAGCAAACAGCCTGAAATAAAAAGATAGCGAAACCGAACCGGGGGGTCGTGTTAGTCGTGACTGTTTCCTCAGTTTCACTCGACCGTAAACATTTTTGCACTTGTTTCGCTTTTGCCACTACAGTGTTTATCGTCACCACCACGCGTGTTGTCGGCGGTGGTCGGGTCGGGTGGGACGCGGCGGGGGCGAGGCAGGGCGGGGTGGGTAGGGGGTGGGGCGCAGGCGTCGTCGCGACACACGCGCGGCTCGGCGTGGCGCGGCGTGGCGCGGCGCGCCCAGAGCTATGCCCAGAGCGAGGCAGCGGAGCGATGATGGGGGCAAGACGAGTCCCCTCCTCTTTCACTTGGCTCGTTCAGTACAGTTCGCCTTGCTGCCGCTGCTGCTGCTTTGGCTGCTGCTTTTCCTGGGCCGAGAGGGTTTCTCTCTCTCAAACTTTGGCGGCGGCCCGAGAGATCGCGCTGCTCCGGGCTGCCTATTGGCTGGGCGGGGCAGGGGCAGCGGCGCCTTTGACGGGCTGCTAGTGTCTATCTCGTCTCGTGCTCGGGCCGCGGCTGCAGCAGCAGCAGCTGCAACTGGCACTGCGGATGCTGCTGGGTGCTGCTGCTGCTGGAGTTTGGCTGATGCAGTCAGTGCTTCCTTCCTCCCACTCTCTTTTTCTCTCACTCTCTTCGCCCCCCCCCCTCCTCCTCTTCCCCTCTGGGCACTCCGCTTCCTGCAGTGTGTGCAACACGTCCAGGACTAGAGGGCCCCGAGGCGTGGCGTGGCGTGGCGTGTGGGGAACCCAAGCCACTCCCCGCCCCGCCCACAGCCAAGCCGTGAATGATCCAATAAGGTCTATCCCCCGCCTGTCATGTACGGATCGGAAATTCGATTCGGGCAACATCTCTCTGGGGCTGCGCGCCCGGCCCTGCCCGGGCAGCGTGTAGCACCGGATTTGTGCAACATGCAGTTTATAGACTGGCGCTCCGCCGTCGCCGTGCGGCCGGGCCTGGGGCGGCACGACGTGCCCGAGGGTACTTGTGGGGGGAGGGGAGCTGCTGTGCTGTATTTGAGGGAATTCCGGTCCGGACAATTGCTTTACGTACTTTCGTCAGTACTCTGTTGACGTAGCACTCCACACAGCACCTTATTTCCATCAATTATGGTACACCGGCCACCGGCGTCTGCCACTTTTCCAAGAATGGAAGTCGCGTTTATTCAAGTTTGACTCGTTGGATTTTTTTTTTGTTGTCTCCTTACTTACGTCAACGTGTTTTCCTGTTTGACCTCACGGCGCCTCGTGCATCCTGCCTGCGCCGCGGATACCCCCCGCGAGCGGGTCCCTCGGGCGGCGCGGCGCGGGGTATCGCCGCTCCTCGCCTTTGTCTCTGACCGCCCAGCGCACGTCATAACGCCACTTTATCTCTTTTTCATTCCAGACTTCGGACAACTGCGCCGACGTGGAGAACATCCTGAAGGAGATGAAGTCGGGCCTGGTGACGCCGCTGACCGCCATCGCCGCCACCCCGCGGAAGGAGTGCGTCGACCCCAAGTTCACCTTCGACACGGCGCACGCGCACGCGCCCCTGGCCGGGCCTAGGTCCAACCCCTACTCCACCGTGCCGCTGCAGGCCCCCAAGGTGAGTGTGAGGCTGTCGTGCTGACAGGTCGTGGTGCTGCCGGTCGTCGCGGAGGGGGCGCCACTGGCGCCAACCGCACGGCGACCCAGATGCAAATGAGTCGTCGGGCCCCGCGAAGTGTGTGGGGGGGGGGGGGAGCGGCGTCGGGATGCACCGAGGTGCACTGCCCCTGGCACTGGCGGCTGGTCGGGGCCCGGCTCGCCTCGCTTAGGTGTAGTTCGACGGGCCATCGACTTTCCCCGCGATACGGGCCGTGGCGCCCGGACGCCGACCCCCCTCCCCCTTTCCCCCGGCCCTCCGTGCGCAGTCGGCGGAGCGTAAGCTGCGCCCGGAGCTGATCGGAGCCGCGGCGCGGGGGTGGCGGCAGCGGGCCGCGGGGACCGGGGTGGGGGCGTCGGTCCGACTGTAGAGAAGGCGATGCGACGCGACGAGTGTCGTGGCCTTGAGTGCCCTGAGGGACCGGTTCGTTGAACCCGAACCCCAGGGCAGAGCAGCACAGTACGAAGGGAGTGAGCGCGCGGGGGGGGAGTGAACAGGGGGCAATACCCCGCGCGCCAGAGACTGCATGCGGCCGGCCG